TAGTTTTGCAGAAGTAGGTCTTTATACATTAATATACCCTGTAGCTCTGCAGAAGTAGGTCTTTACACATTATTATATCCTGTAGCTCTGCAGAAGTAGGTCTTTACACATTATCATATCCTGTAGCTCTGCAGAAGTAGGTCTTTACACATTATTATATCCTGTAGCTCTGCAGAAGTAGGTCTTTACACATTATTATATCCTGTAGCTCTGCAGAAGTAGGTCTTTACACATTATCATATCCTGTAGCTCTGCAGAAGTAGGTCTTTACACAGTTTCCATTGTAAATGTTGCATGATCAGCATGATCAAGTATTATTGTCCTTTGCTGATAATAATAATAAGTGCATTTATAATACGCAGATTCCATTCACTAAGTGAATGCTCATAGCGCTACACTATTATTACCCCGGTCAATGGATCAGTGAGCACTCGATTTTCATTCTCATCTCCCTGGGGAGTATACAACCCAAGCTGCTGTCTTTAGAAGTATTCATAGATATCTCAGTCTCAACACATTTGTCACATATCTAAAATCACAAATGCCAAGGTTGGGTTCTCCCACTATCCAATGCTTGCTACCCCAGTGGTAAAATAGATTTGTCAGACACCTCATGAGAATATAAGACTTATAAATATAAATAAAAAGACTTTCATTGTATTTCATAGGCTTTAATAGCCACAAAGAAATACAAGGTGTAATGTATTACAACATCATGTTACATCATTTGGCACTTTGGAACCGATTACTAGAGTCAACCCAAATTCTGTACTTGTCTTAATGATCAATCTCCACTGAACACATAATCTCGGCTCATTCTACAGAAGACGGCAGAATAGTCTCTTGTTTTAATGAAAAGAATTTTTATTACTATTACTTTATAATTCATGACTAAATTTATATATACAGATACAAATGTCCATTATCTTTATTTTGTTATCTCTTCTAATATGTCTAAGACTAAAACATTTAAAATAATAATAAATTTATTATCTGAGATATGATCTCCATCGAGATATAACAGTGACATCAGGGTTGTGTACCAAACACTGTCTTTGCAGTTACTGTTGGGCAAGGTGTTGGGTAAGCTGTTGGGTAAGAAGTTGGGTATACTGTTGGGTAAGCTGTTGGGTAAGCTGTTGAGTAAGCTGTTAGGTAAGCTGTTGGGTATACTGTTGGGTATACTGTTGAGTAAGCTGTTGGGCAAGGTGTTGGGTATACTGTTGGGTAAGCTGTTGGGTATACTGTGGGGTAAAGTGTTGGGTATACTGTTCGGTAAGCTGTTTGGTATACTGTTGGGTAAGCTGTTGGGTAGGCTGTTGGGTATACTGTTGGGTAAGCTGTTGGGCAAGGTGTCGGGTAAGCTGTTGGGTATACTGTTGGGTATACTGTTGGGCAAGGTGTTTGGTATACTGTTGGGTAAGGTGTTGGGTATACTGTTGGGTATACTGTTGGGCAAGGTGTTGGGTATACTGTTGGGTAAGCTGTTGGGTATGTTGTTGGGTATGTTGTTGGGTATGTTGTTGGTTAAGCTGTTGGGTTTGCTGTTGGGCAAAGTGTTGGGTATACTGTTGGGTATACTGTTGGGTAAGCTGTTGGGTATACTGTTGGGTAAGCTGTTGGGTAAGCTGTTTGGTAAGCAGTTGGGTATGCTGTTGGGTAAGCTGTTCGGTATACTTTAGGGTATACTTTAGGGTTTACTGTTGGGTAAGTTGTTGGGTATACTGTTGGGTATACTGTTGGGTATACTGTTGGGTATACTGTTGGGTAAGCTGTTGGGTATACTGTTGGATAAGCTGTTGGGTACACTTTAGGGTATACTGTTGGGTATGTTGTTGGGTAAGCTGTTGGGTAAGCTGTTGGGTATACTGTTAGGTATATTGTTAGGTATACTATTGGGTAAGCTGTTTGGTAAGCTGTTGGGTATGTTGTTGGGTATGTTGTTGGGTATGTTGTTAGGTAAGCTGTTGGGTATACTGTTGGGTAAGCTCTTGGGTAAGCTGTTGGGTATGCTGTTGGGTTTACTGTTAGGTATACTGTTAGGTATACTGTTGGGTAAGCTGTGGGTATGCTGTTGGGTATACTGTTGGGCAAGGTGTTGGGTAAGCTGTTGGGTAAGGTCTTGTGTAAGCTGTTGAGTTTACTGTTGGTAAGCTGTTGGGTATACTGTTGGGTATACTGTTTGGTATACTGTTGGGTATACTGTTGGGTAAGCTGTTGGGTATACTGTTGGGTAAGCTGTTGAGTTTACTGTTGGTAAGCTGTTGGGTATACTGTTGGGTAAGCTGTTGGGTATACTGTTGGGCAAGGTGTTGGGTAAGCTGTTGGGTAAGCTGTTGGGTATACTGTTAGGTAAGCTGTTGGGTATACTGTTGGGTAAGCTGTTGGGTATACTGTTGGGTATACTGTTGGGTAAGCTGTTGGGTAAGCTGTTAGGCAAGGTGTTGGGAAGTTGTTGGGTATACTGTTGGGTATACTGTTGGGTAAGCTGTTGAGTTTACTGTTGGTAAGCTCTTGGGTATACTGTTGGGTAAGCTGTTGGGTATACTGCTGGGTAAGCTGTTGGGTAAGCTGTTGGGTATATTGTTGGGTAAGCTGTTGGGTATACTGTTGGGTAAGCTGTTGGTTATACTGTTGGGTAAGCTGTTGGGTATACTGTTGGGTAAGCTGTTGGGTATGCTGTTGGGTAAGCTGTTGGGTATGTTGTTGGGTAAGCTGTTGGGTAAGCACTAACTACAAATGTTCACCTTCACTACTAACTAAAAATGTTCACCTTCACCACTTACTACAAATTTCAGCTTCACTACTAACTACAAATGTTCACCTTCACTACTAACTACAAATGTTCACCTTCACTACTAACTACAAATGTTCACCTTCACTACTAACTACAAATTTCAGCTTCACTACTAACTACAAATGTTCACCTTCACTACTAACTACAAATGTTCACCTTCACTTCAAACTACAAATTTCAGCTTCACTACTAACTACAAATGTTCACCTTCACCACTTACTACAAATGGTCACCTTCACTACTAACTACAAATTTCAGCTTCACTACTAACTACAAATGGTCACCTTCACTACTAACTACAAATGTTCACCTTCACTACTAACTACAAATGTTCACCTTCACTACAAACAACAAATGTTCACCTTCACTACTAACTACCAATGTTCACGTTCACTACTAACTACAAATTTCAACTTCACTACTAACTACAAATGTTCACCTTCACTACTAACTACAAATGTTCACCTTCACCACTAACTACAAATGTTCACCTTCACTACTAACTACAAATGTTCACCTTCACCACTTACTACAAATTTCAGCTTCACTACTAACTACAAATGTTCAGCTTCACTACTAACTACAAATGTTCACCTTCACTACTAACAACAAATGTTCACCTTCACTACTAACTACAAATGTTCACCTTCACCACTTACTACAAATGGTCACCTTCACTACTAACTACAAATTTTCAGCTTCACTACTAACTACAAATGGTCACCTTCACTACTAACTACAAATGTTCACCTTCACTACTAACTACAAATGTTCACCTTCACTACAAACAACAAATGTTCACCTTCACTACTAACTACCAATGTTCACCTTCACTACTAACTACAAATTTCAACTTCACTACTAACTACAAATGTTCACCTTCACTACTAACTACAAATTTCAGCTTCACTACTAACTACAAATGTTCACCTTCACCACTTACTACAAATGGTCACCTTCACTACTAACTACAAATTTCAGCTTCACTACTAACTACAAATGGTCACCTTCACTACTAACTACAAATGTTCACCTTCACTACTAACTACAAATGTTCACCTTCACTACAAACAACAAATGTTCACCTTCACTACTAACTACCAATGTTCACCTTCACTACTAACTACAAATTTCACCTTCACTACTAACTACAAATGTTCACCTTCACTATTTACTACAAATGTTCACCTTCACTACTAACTACAAATTTCAGCTTCACTACTAACTACAAATGTTCACCTTCACCACTTACTACAAATGGTCACCTTCACTACTAACTACAAATTTCAGCTTCATTACTAACTACAAATGGTCACCTTCACTACTAACTAAAAATGTTCACCTTCACTACTAACTACAAATGTTCACCTTCACTACAAACAACAAATGTTCACCTTCACTACTAACTACAAATGTTCACCTTCACCACTAACTACAAATTTCACCTTCACTACTAACTATAAATGTTCACCTTCACTACTAACTACAAATGTTCACCTTCACTACTAACTACAAATGTTCACCTTCACTACTAACTACAAATGTTCACCTTCACTACTAACTACTAATGTTCACCTTCACTACTAACTACAAATGTTCACCTTCACTACTAACTACAAATGTTCACCTTCACTACTAACTACAAATGTTCAACTTCACTACTAACTACTAATGTTCACCTTCACTACTAACTACAAATGTTCACCTTCACTACTATGTACAAATGTTCACCTTCACTACTAACTACAAATGTTCACCTTCACTACTAACTACAAATGTTCACCTTCAATACTAACTACAAATGTTCACCTTCACTTTTAACTACAAATTTCACCTTCACTTTTAACTACAAATTTCACCTTCAATACTAACTACAAATGTTCACCTTCACTACTAACTACAAATTTCAGCTTCACTACTAACTACAAATGTTCAGCTTCACCACTTACTACAAATGTTCACCTTCACTACTAACTACAAATGTTCTGAACAAAGATGACCGTGTGATGGCCATAAATACATTTTCAATATGGACGATATGGTGACCAAGATGGACAACAGGCCACGACATAAGCTCACATGACTTTCAGTCAGGTGAGCTAAAGTCTTAAGCATAATGACCCAGATTAATTACCCTATTTGCATGACTCCTGGAACATAGACTCCTGGTTTTGACGGAGGATTAAGTTAGAACATTCCTTACCATCCTGGCAGTAGACTTCGCGACAGCACTTGTTGTTCTTCTGTAGGTATGTGTGTGGTGGACATGCTCGGCATGCTGTCTGAAACAATGGAATGTTACATGGCTTATTCTTCATAATCTAACTGAATATTTATTTGAAGGTTAGGGGATTCATAAACAGTGTTAGCCTCATGAATAGTCACGACTGGACACTCAAAGAAACTCAAAGACATTAGACTTACATAACATGGCCAATATCATGAAGGTATAATAAAATGTTCCTGAGATATTTTCTTAAAACAAACTCGACCCCCATTTGAGCAATCACAAAAACAAAAAACAATGGCCATAGCTCTGTAAAATATAAATTTAAGATTGTGGTTTCAAGCTTGAAAATATTTTCACTAAATGATGTATTCAAAATGTCATCTGTAGTGGTTCAAAAGCTCAAACAAGGACCATAACATAAAATATCAATTCTTGATGCTGGGTTTTGAACTTGTTCTACATGTGTATCCCATATCTTGTATGCAAAATGTCATTCACAAGTAGTGGTTTCTGAGCACAAAATTCTCACTATGTCAACAATAATGTTTTATGCTGGCTTTCAAACTTGTTCTACATACGTATCTCTTAATGATATATGCAAAATGGCATCCTGGTACCCATTTGTTTTTGACAAAATGAGTCCCATTTGGGGGTACATTGCCCCATGTCCAACAAAAATATACAGCAATTACTGAAAATAGTTGTCCCCATTGAAATCAGATGGACCTATGAGTCCAAACCTATATCCCCTGCCCCACTTGTGATGGGGGGTAATTAGCTGGTTTGTTGAAACGGAACACTCAGCAATATTCAAGCTATGTGAGAGAGATCTGCCACAAATTGAACGTAGGGCTGACAGTCCAGTGATTGACATCATGAGCATCAATATACGCAACAGGGATACAATAACATGCATCAACTAAGTCAGTGAGCCTGATCACCCGTGTACCGTTAGTCGCCTCTTACGAGTATGAGTTCCTGGAGACCAATTCTAACCCGGATCTTTAAGGGTGGATAATAAGTATCCAGGGTTAAATGAAGATAGCTTACCTGAGAGGCTGTGATGATGTAGAGGACAATGTTCACATAACAGTAGCACTTTATCATATTTTCAGTATCGTTGTTGCGATGGCATGGCCTTCAGTGCAAAATGCCACATGATTCAGATCAAACTTTACATGTTAACCTTTTCTTTTGAAAATTATCTGACATTCAGTTCGAATAAGAAAACTTTGAATGTCCTAATTTCCTGAACCATGCTGATTCAGATTAAAAAGTTACTCTTTTCGACGTGTGTGACTGTAGAGAAACAGATATCTCAGATGTTTAAAAGTGAAGAGGCATAATATCTTGCTTTTCATGTAGTTGACAGATTCAGAACTGCATTATTCTCAGATAAAGTTCTTGTATCCCGTGAAGGTCCATATGCGGTGTTATCACTTCCAACTGTAAAATGAATATAACCTTTTTGATGTTATTTGTAATCATTTAACAATTAATCAACAAGTGTCAGAACTGAACGTAACAAGTACTTGATAACATTGTATATTTACTCAACTTCATTGAAATGTTCATAATTACTCTTTAATAGCAAGTCTTTAATGGAAAGCTAGTCAGGCTGGTGTTCTAGGTTTTTTCACATAAGGACTTGATACAATGACTCATTGTTGAAGTTTGTGATACACTATGAGCCCCCTCTGTTCTATATGACCTAACACGCTAATATGTAACTGAATATTGGACACAGAAAGGAATTTGATTGGTGAGGGGTGTGCGTGGGATAATTCAAATGTTACACTTCAATTTTATTACAGTGTACTTTACACAGTGTTTTTGGGGTGCATAATAGCTCATATCCTATACTCACATAAGAAGGCACCCCGCCGATGCCAACGGGCCTCAAATAACAAATCAATTAAACAATTAATCAAAGCAAATGTAAAAACTGTTTAATACATTTTATCATAAATCTGCTTAAGAAAAATCATATATCGACAATAAACTATTTAGATCTATAATCTGGTCCAATTTGTGACTTCCGTCAGCAGCAACCGGCTAAAATAACTAACTGTCATGGTTATATGGGCAACTTATTGCAACCGTGGCACTAAAGAGGAAAACTGTGACATAATACATACCTGTTTTTGTATGTAAATTGTTGCAAACATACATTGCTCTTAATATGACTTGTATTTTCGCATTAGAAAATGGTCAAAACCGCGAAGTCCGTATGCCTGTAGAGTTACGGCCCTTCTTAGCTGTCAGCTTCCCAGCGCAAGACACAAGGCTCCTAGACTGGTTCCCGGGTCCTCCGTCTGGTGTCGCTACCAAGCAGAAACGAACGGGAACCAGTCGAAGAAAGTTCCGTGAACGGGTGGAGCTTGAGGTGTGAGTGGAGCGGAGATTATGAACGAAAATCCGATTGTGTAACAAGCCGTCTCCAAACAAACAACCGCTGGGTATGAAAGGTTTCAGTGGCCGCCCATGGTCACTGTTCACTCCCGTAATACGCGAAGGGGGCGTCTCATAATGCCATTCGTTGGCCTGTCTTTCTGTTGAGGAATTCAAAGATATCGACACAAAAATTATTGTGTGCCATACATGTTTTATACCCGGTATTTCTTCAGTAAAGTCAATAGTAATATATTAAAGAGTGCATGGTATTAAGAAATATGGTAAATACAGTAGCGTGGTTTTGAGACGTCCCAATTCCGTGTGTTTTCATCCTATGTAATCTGGCTTCCACGGGATTTAGTAACCTGGGGCTTTGGAAACTGTCACCACAGTCATTTGGTCTAAACAAGGCAAGGTGAACAATACGAACTGCAAGTAAGGACCCATTTATGTTTCTTTTACATTTGTTTCTGTTTAATGATCAATTCACACTTTATTCTGCTGTAGGTTTACAAGGGATCGAATGTAAACAACATATTTTTTCATTCAGTCACGTGATCATTGTGTATTGACATGAGTTGACGTGAAGGAATATGACTAGGGTGAGTGCAGCACTACATCTCTACTTGTCTCCAGAGATCATTTATGACACAATACATTGTTGAGATTTCCTTATAAACTGGTCGATGGTCAGGCTCCATGACTTCAAAATTAGCTCTCTGGGTGAAACAGTGCAGGCATACGTCAATTGTTGCTCATGATTTCAGTCACTGTTTTTTTGGATCAAGACTCGTTTATTGAGTCATGCAAAAGTCATGACTGTCATGGCCGTGATTTATCTGGATACATTTAGTGTCACACGTTACTCTTGCTAACTGATCCTGTTGCATGTGTTCTTGTTTATTTATGGAAAATATGTGCAGGGTCAAATAAAAAGTAAGCATGTATAAATAGAGATAAACCATAGAGTTCTAGATATTTTTTTATCATTAAACAATATATCACGTGACTAACCACGGGTCCGGGTAGTCCTGTGGATACCCGGATCCTACTCAGTACCCAACCAACCCAAGTACCCGAGTTACCCGTCCCAGCCCTAATACCAACAATAATCAGTGCAACAGTAGTTGGTTGTATTGGCAGCAAGGTAGTGGGTGCAGCAAGCTACACCTTCTTGATGTGATGGTCTCATGTTTAGGTATTAGGAAATATTGATCATTGTAGATTCTGTGGATGAAATACAGATTATATGAAATCTGAGTAAATTTTTGTTGATTATAATTTATATTTGCTGTTGCACTGTTTAAAACTCCTTTTGAAGCCTGCTGCTGTGATTTGGCTAGAACAAAGTGGCATAAAACTACACTCAAATTAGTGAGTGTGTTTGATTTTATGCCACTTATAGCAATATCCAAGCAATATCACGGCGGGGACACCAGAAATGCACTTAACACATTGTTCACATGCCGGAATCTAACCAGGGTCTTTGGCGTGATGAGCGGATGCTTTAACCACTTGGCTATCTGACCACCCCCACTCCTTCCAAAGAAGGAACTATAGACAATTTGAAAGACGAGCAATGGAAGCAGTATCTTATGAATTAAACATAATGTAAATAACTTGGCATTGACTCTTCTACAACTTTTATTTAATAGGTATTTTTTTCCACAACTGAAGTAATTATTGATTATAGAGAAAGAAAGGTTGAAATTATCATGGTGACACATATGATATTTGAGCATGTTGTGAAAGACCTCTAGTGATACTCAACATCAATAGCACCTTATTTAGAAAAAAACATGTTCCTTGTTACCATGGTTACAAGGCTTATCCAGATGAGATGCCCTATAAGTCTGATAAGGATGGCATCATACGAAAAGAAGTGAAATGTCCTTGTGGTGTAGGCCAGTGATGGGTGCATGTCCTTGTGGTATAGGCCAGTGATGAGGGCATGTCCTTGTGGTGTAGGTCAGTGATGAGTGCATGTCCTTGTGATGTAGGTCAGTGATGAGTGCATGTCCTTGTGGTATAGGCCAGTGGTGAGTGCATGTCCTTGTGGTATAGGTCAGTGATGAGTGCATGTCCTTGTGGTGTAGGTCAGTGATGAGTGCATGTCCTTGTGGTGTAGGTCAGTGATGAGTGCTTGTCCTTGTGATGTAGGTCAGTGATGAGTGCATGTTCTTGTGTAGGCCAGTGATGAGTGCATGTCCTTGTGGTGGTCAGTGATGAGTTCATGTCCTTGTTGTGTAGGTCAGTGATGAGTGCATGTCCTTGTGGTATAGGCCAGTGGTGAGTGCATGTCCTTGTGCTGTAGGCCAGTGGTGAGTGAATGTCCTTGTGCTGTAGGCCAGTGATGAGTGCATGTCCTTGTGGTGTAGGTCAGTGATGAGTGCATGTCCTTGTGGTATAGGCCAGTAATGAGTGCTTGTCCTTGTGGTGTAGGCCATTGAATCGGGTAATCGCAGCTTTTCTGCTTGTGTATTCTATTTAATGGTAGACACAACATTTGTTTTTGACTCATGACTTCACATACAAAATAAACTAATCCAAACATCAGGAAATTAGAAAAATAAATTTTATAGATTGAGAGTCTTTCTGAAAATCTCATTTAACAATAACATATATCACCAGATCACAGCTTTTTTTCATGGATATCCCAACACAAGATATTTAGCTCACCACTACAGCATGTTTAAATAATTGTTCAGGATTTTGGCCATCATGACATAAAGTTTGTTTTTTTAATACCTTCTGACCATGTTTACACAAAAGACAAAACAAAATCTGTAAACCAACTAATAACAAAAAGGTTTTAATATGTTGCTTGTTGTAATCAAATCCTGAGTCTATGTCCATGTTTCAGTTTCCAGTTGGGGAAGTCCACACAGACATTGGAGGTATGTCGGAAGTGAAGAAGCGTGTGCTGATCATTGGTGCGGGGGCTGCAGGGACTGCTGCGGCATACAGTCTTGGCAGATATCCAGACAGATTTGATGTGGAGGTATGGGAAAAGTCCAGGGTTCCAGGGGGTGTTGCCACGACCAACCTTGTGAAAGGCAACCTCTTTGTAAATGATGGTGTTCAAGGTGGGACACCAACTTACAGAAACACCCTCAACTTAATGAACAGATTTGGTTTTGAGACAACCCCTGTCCACATGAAGATCTCTTTTGGCAAGGGGCAAACAGCCTGGACCAACTACACGGAGACTGAACTGACAGAATATCTTAAAGAAGATATAAAAAAATTTGGATCAGTTTTGAAAACTGTCAACAGATATGAGGCCTTCTACATCTTTATCCCAATTTCCAGAGTTTTGAAGTGGTATGGGTTCTCTGATTTGTTTTGTAATGAGATGGTATATCCTCTCACAGCCTTATTCTTCGGGACAGGCAACCAGACACCAAACGTGTCGGCCGCCATCGTGGCTCGGGTCTTCCTTGATGATGATCTCAGGTTGTTTGACTATGACTCTGAGCACCTTTTAAGTCAAACACCAGAAATGTTTGCATTCCCTAATCTTGAGTCCATGTATAAAACAATAATAGCGAAATCAGGTATCATTTACCATGCTAACCGTCCTGTGACCTCAGTCCGTAGGACGAGGAAGCATGTCTATGTGACAGACTCCAACAATCATGAACAAGTCTTTGATGACATAATCTTTGCCTGTGATGCAGAAACTGCCTTGAAGGTTCTTGATGAACCAACCCTCTTTGAAACCAGAGCCTTGGGGAATGTCAAGTATTACAATGACCTGATAGTAACTCATGAAGACAGAGAATACATGGACAAGTTCTATGAGCTCCATGTAGACACTGATCAATATTTTGTCCGAACGGATGACAATGACAGCTCCAAACTAGAGATGTCTTTCAACCTGACCAACTACCAACCCCAGCTCAAGTCTTCGGGTAGGAACATCTTTCAAACAATCTTCCTGGACGACCAAGTACAGGGGGCATGGACCAGAGATGAAATCAAGGAAGACAAGATCCTCTTGAAACGTTGGTGGAGGCAGTTTTCTCACTCCTGGAAACACTTTGCATTTACTGTGCCTTTCATGCGCTACCTCCAAGGCAAGAAGCACACATGGTACTGTGGGTCATACACCCTCATCAACACTCACGAGGTTGCTGTCATTTCTGGTCTGGCAGCTGCACACCAGCTCGGGGCTCCGTACCCGTTCACTGAAGACAGCCTGGCAGCCAAACAGTTTGACCATTACATGATGGTCATCCATGGTCAGCCAAGATCTGTTGGAGTTAACAAGGACACAGTGAAGTCATACCTACTTGCTCCATTGATGTTTTTGTTTGCCTGCTTTGCTCTCTTGCTGAAGGTGATCCTGAGGGTGATGTCGTAAGTGTCCAGTTTGTAGAGCTGATCCTGAGGGTGATGTCATCAGTGTCCAGTTTGTAGAGCTGATCCTGAGGGTGATGTCATCAGTGTCCAGTGTGTAGAGCTGATCCTTAGGGTGTCATCAGTGTCCAGTGTGTAGAGCTGATCCTGAGGGTGATGTCATCAGTGTCCAGTGTGTAGAGCTGATCCTGAGGGTGATGACATCAGTATCCAGTGTGTAGAGCTGATCCTTAGGGTGTCATCAGTGTCCAGTGTGTAGAGCTGATCCTGAGGGTGATGTCATCAGTGTCCAGTGTGTAGAGCTGATCCTGAGGGTGATGTCATCAGTGTCCAGTGTGTAGAGCTGATCCTGAGGGTGATGTCATCAGTGTCCAGTGTGTAGAGCTGATCCTGAGGGTGATGTCATCAGTGTCCAGTGTGTAGAGCTGTCAGAAGCACCCTGAGAGCATTGTCCATCTTCCTCATTGTTATTGCTTATCTCCTAAAATGGTGGTGCTTCTGGTGGATCTGTAATTAAATTCAAAGGTGCTAGTTTAGAGTTTCCATATTCTTGACAATTAAGAAAACACTGGGATTTTTGTAACAGAAAGTATTTTTGGCCACTGCTTGAAGATGTTCATGGCATACAATTATTTTCTCTGAAAGGAGCTGAGCTACTATCTATTTGTTTCTCACACCACCTTCTTAGGACATACATCATGTTCAGCAAACAATTACCTTTTGTGTGTAATCTGTCAGGCTGTGTTATCTATATCCGTCCTGTATTTTCAGTGAATAAACAAATTATTTTTGTCCAGAAAATTGTAGCTTCCTATCAAAATATGTTGGTACTCTATTCAGGGCGGTGGGGAAAGAAAGCGGTTTTAGCATTATCTTCAAAAGACCCTGTACAAAGGTGCAGCACCTGGTCCTGGGGTCTCCCTGGTACAAAGGTGAAGCACCTGGTCCTAGGGTCTCCCTGGTACAAGGGTGAAGCACCTGGTCCTGGTATCTCCCTGGTACAAGGGTGAAGCGCCTGGTCCTTGGGTCTCCCTGGTACAAGGGTGAAGCGCCTGGTCCTGGGGCCTCCCTGGTACAAGGGTGAAGCACCTGGTCCTGGTATCTCCCTGGTACAAGGGTGGATCACCTGGTCCTGGTATCTCCCCGGTACAAGGGTGAAGCATCTGGTCCTGGTATCTCCCTGGTAAAAAGGTGAAGCACCTGTCCTGGTATCTCCCTGGTACAAGCATGGAGCACCTGGTCCTGGTATCTCCCCGGTACAAGTGTAAAGCACCTGGTCCTGGGGCCTCCCTGGTACAAGTATGAAGCACCTGGTCCTGGGGCCTCCCTGGTACAAGTATGAAGCACCTGGTCCTTGGACCTCCCTGGTACAAGGGTGGAGCACCTGGTCCTGGTATCTCCCTGGTACAAGTATGAAGCACCTGGTCCTGGTATCCCCCTGGTACAAGTATGAAGCACCTGATCCTGGTGTCTCCCTGGTACAAGGGTGGAGCACCTGGTCCTGGTATCTCCCTGGTACAAGGGTGGAGCACCTGGTCCTGGGGCCTCCCCGGTACAAGGGTGGAGCACCTGGTCCTGGTGTCTCCCTGGTACAAGTATGAAGCACCTGGTTCTGGGGCCTCCCTTGTACAAGTATGAAGCACCTGGTCCTGGGGCCTCCCTGGTACAAGTATGAAGCACCTGGTCCTGGGGCCTCCCTGGTACAAGTGTGAAGCACCTGGTCCTGGGGCCTCCCTGGTACAAAGGTGAAGCACCTGGCCCTTGGGTCTCCCTGGTACAAGTATAAAGCACCTGGTCCTGGTGTCTCCCTGGTACAAGTATGAAGCACCTGGTCCTGGGGCCTCCCTGGTACAAAGGTGAAGCACCTGGCGCTTGGGTCTCCCTGGTACAAGTATGAAGCACCTGGTCCTGGTGTCTCCCCAGTACAAGTATGAAGCCCCTGGTCCTGGGGCCTCCCTGGTACAAGTATGAAGCACCTGGTCCTGGTATCTCCCTGGTACAAGTGTAAAGCACCTGGTCCTGGGGCCTCCCTGGTACAAAGGTGAAGCACCTGGCCCTTGGGTCTCCATGGTACAAGTATGAAGCACCTGGTCCTGGTGTCTCCCTGCTACAAGTATGAAGCACCTGCTTCTGGGGCCTCCCTGGTACAAGTATGAAGCACCTGGTCCTGGGGCCTCCCTGGTACAAGTATGAAGCACCTGGTCCTGGTATCTCCCTGGTACAAGTATGAAGCACCTGGTCCTGGTGTCCCCCTGGTACAAGTATGAAGCACCTGGTCCTGGTGTCTCCCTGGTACAAGTATGAAGCACCTGGTCCTGGTATCTCCCTGGTACAAGTATGAAGCACCTGGTCCTGGTATCTCCCTGGTACAAGTATGAAGCACCTGGTCCTGGTATCTCCCTGGTACAAGTATGAAGCACCTGGTCCTGGTGTCCCCCTGGTACAAGTATGAAGCACCTGGTCCTGGTGTCTCCCTGGTACAAGTATGAAGCACCTGGTCCTGGTATCTCCCTGGTACAAAGGTGAAGCACCTGGTCCTGGGGCCTCCCTGGTTCAAGGGTGAAGCACCTGATCCTGGTATCTCCCTGGTACAAGGGTGAAGCAGCTGATCCTGGCTGTCATACCAAAAGACATTAAAAATGTAACTTCTTGTAACCCTGCCTGGTGCTTGGCATTAAGGGGCAAAAACAAGGACTCGTCGGCTCGGACTGTGACTGCAGGAGTAGGGTACTCATGTTTAACTGCGACGTGATATCTCAGTACCGGACTAGTACAAGCACAGACAAGCACAGACAGACAGACACACACACACACACACACACACACACTTGGATCGATGCTCATGATATCAATCACTGGATTGTCTGGTTCAGATTCGATTATTTACAGACTGCCGTCATATAGCTGGAATATTGCAGAGTGCGGCGTTGAACAACCAACCAACCAACCAACTCCAGTGAAGTGCATCTCTTCACTAATACGAATACGGTTACTGGAAAGTGTATATAAGCGAAAGTATTTGCATTGACATGGAAAATTCCAGTACAAACACATTCTTAACGGATGCGGTACAAACAGCAAACAATACTATAATGTGGTAAGCTCTCAGTTAGAAGTGTCGAAATTATTGAAATAGTTGAAAATCACTCTAAATTGTATTGCAATCTATACTCAACAACAAAAGTTCCTGTGACACCAATATTTTAGTGTATTTTTCAAACAAGTTTGGTTTTCAATATTGTAGTACATGTATGGAATCAAGTCACAAAAACGCAACTGCTACAGAAAAGCATGCATTTCATGCAAAAGTTGACCCAAGAATGGGTGTTAAAAAAAACGTGCGTTAACGGGATTCCATATGCATTGTTCAGCATCCTGCTGACAACAACTACTCAGAAAAACAACAAAATTACGCAATTATTCAACATTACGAAATGCCACGCCTGTCCGAAAATGAGCTTCAAGCACGTCTACAGTGGTGCAGACAGCGTCTTCGCTGGACGGCCATGCAGTGGGGACAAGTTCTATTCACTGACGAGTCTCGTTTCCACCTCAGCCACAGCGATGGACGGATTTGAGTGTACCGACGTCGAGGTGAACGTTACGCCAATCATTGTGTCATGAAAGAAGATCGGTTCGGGGGCGGCAGCGTTATGGTATGGGGTGAGATTACAGCAAGATAGAGGACCCGTTTGATAGTGGTAGAGGGAAATCTCAATGGACAGTGCTACTGCGACGAGATCATCGGCCCTGTTGTTCTACCGTTTTTGCGTCGCTATGGCCCAGGCATTACCTTTCAACATGACAACGCCCGGCCTCATATTGCTTGACTTGTTCAGGATTCTTTTCAAACAAAACAACGTGAATGTCATCCCCTGGCCGGCTCGCTCCCCTGATCTCTCACCAGTCGAGCACGTGGGATGAGATGGATCGGCGCCTTCGACGTCAACCACGTGTTCCACAGACACTCCAGGAACTTCGAAACATGCGCCAGCAGATATAGACAGATATCCCACAGGACTTTGTGCGACGCCTGGTCCATTCCATGAGACGAAGATGTGTTGCTTGCATCGCAACCAGAGGTGGACTCACACGCTATTGATTTGTAAATTGACATTTTGGCATGTTCATGTTGTTGTTTTTAAATCACGCATTTTCTGAAGTCAGTATGGCAAATTAAACCATTTGAACACTTACGGGAGTCTTTTAGCTATTGCAAACCGAAATTGTTTCAGATTTGGTAAAAAACATAACTTTGCTTTAAATCTTATTCAATGTCACAGGAACGTTTGTTGTTCAGTATATTTCATTCAGTCAACGAACCCCTCAACTACAGACCCATCTTGCCCGCAACACACTTCCATCTTACCCGCAACAATCGTCAATCTCGCCCGCAACACTCTTCCATCTTGCCCGCAATACACTTCCATCTTACCCGCAACACTCTTCCATCTCGCCCGTAACACACTTCCATCTTACCCGCAACACTCTTCCATCTCGCCCGCAACACACTTCCATCTCGCCCGCAGCACTCTTCCATCTCGCCCGCAACACTCTTCCATCTCGCCCGCAACACACTTCAATCTCGCCCGCAACACTCTTCCATCTCGCCCATAACACACTTCCATCTTACCCGCAACACTCTTCCATCTCGCCCGCAATACTCTTCCATCTCGCCCGTAACACTCTTCCATCTTACCCGCAACACTCTTCCATCTCGCCCGCAATACTCTTCCATCTCGCCCGCAACACTCTTCCATCTCGCTCGCAATTCTCTTCCATCTCGCCCGCAATACTCTTCCACCTCGCCTGTAACACACTTCCATCATCCGTTGAATGATGGTACTTGTTGTTACCCTGTCTGGCACTCGTCATTAAGGGGCTAAAACAAGGGCTGGTCGGCTCGGAGTCCGTATACTGTGTCGGAGTGGGGTATTCATTTAAACTACGGCATGGTATCTCAGTGGGCTAGCACTTTAAATCGGTATCAGTCCGGACAAGTACTAGCAGCCACGCCCACACACACACACACACACACACACACACATTCACACATTCACACATTCACTCTTCCATCTCCCCCGCAATACTCTTCAATCTCGCCCGCAACACTCTTCCATCTCGCCCGCAATACTCTTCCATCTCGCCCGCAATACTCTTCCATCTCGCCCGCAATACTCTTCCATCTCGCTCGCAATACTCTTCCATCTCGCCCGCAACACTCTTCCATCTCGCCCGCAATCGCCCGCAATACTCTTCCATCTCGCCCGCAATACTCTTCCATCTCGCTCGCAATACTCTTCCATCTCGCCCGCAACACTCTTCCATCTCGCCCGCAATACTCTTCCATCTCGCCCGCAACACTCTTCCATCTCGCCCACAATACTCTTCCATCTCGCCCGTAACACTCTTCCAACTCGCTCGCAATACACCTCCATTACCCGCAATACTCTTCCATCTCGCCCGTAACACTCTTCCATCTCATCCCCAACACTCTTCCATCTCCCCCGCAACACTCTTCCATCTCACCCGCAATACTCTTCCATCTCGCCTGCAATACTCTTCCATCTCGCCCGCAACACTCTTCCATCCCGCTTGCAATACTCTTCCATCTCGCTCGCAACACTCTTCCATCTCGCCCGTAACACACTTCCATCATCCGTTGAAAGATGTTACTTGTTGTTACCCTGTCTGGCTTGTCATTAAGGGGCTAAAACAAGGGCTGGTCGGCTCGGAGTCAGTATACTGTGTCGGAGTGGGGTATTCGTTTATACTGCGGCATGGTATCTCAGTGGGCTAGC